TACAGCTCATCTCATTCTTTTCCAGTAACACACGGATCAAACTTCTCAATTTCTCATCCTTCCATCTTACGTGGCATGCACGAAGCCATATGGCCACCAAAAACACACAAAAAGAAGCATTTAAATCTTCTAAAATTGATGTTCATAAATTTTTATGACATTTTTCTAGTATTTTTTATTTTTAATAAAATATAAAATTTTCTATTTCTTTCTTTAAAAAAAATTTATAAAATTTATAGAATCTCAAGTAGTCAAATTCAGATAATTTATTAAATCCCAAAAAAAAATATAATCCTAATATATGTACACTCTCTCTTTTTACTTTCATGCTTAGGTTTAATTATATTAATGTAATTAAAAAAAAATTCTCCATATATTTTTACCTTTCATACAATGTTGTCAAATAATTCTCACTTTACCAGCTTGCAATTTGATATAAATTAAGTATATTTAGTATTTACTAGTGCTTCCAACAGGATTATATTTAATAGGAGAACATTTATAGGTAAATGAAAAGAAAATTAAGGAATCAAATTATGTACGGAAATTGAAGATAAAAAAATTATATAAGTAAATCAAGGAAAAAATAGTAGTCTACTCAGTACTTCTCTACATGGCATGTTTTGTTTAAAATTTTTTTTATTAACTCAAAATTATCTCTGGTTGCTTGCTGGCCACATAACAAGCTATCTAAGCAGTCATCTTTCTTCTAATAAGCTGACTCCTTCGGTATTTCACTATTTCTTATCATTTTTAGGTCATTATCCCAATTAACGCAATGAATGACGTCAAGAATGTCAGAGAAATAGAAATAAATCTAACAACAAGAATGTCAATATGGAAATCAAGAACGATGGGCTTCCGACCAATATCCTTAGAACGAGCAGAAATCTCAGTGAGAGCGCCTCACGTCCTTTTGAGTGCACTTGTGAGGAAACACTCATACAGTTATTAAGAGATTGCCCTGTAGCTTATGAGTTGTGGTCTAGTTTTATTAACCCACTTTTTTGTCAATTTTTTTTTTTTTTTTCCATTTGCCTTGACGGGGATGGCTGCGCTGGAACCTAAGTGGGAAATAGGAAAGAACGAACTTCACATGGAGGAAAATTTTTTAGCTTGGCTTGCTGGAACCTTTGGAAGAATAGGTGTCGAGGCGTGTTCGAAAATAATCGGCTTCGTACACAGAGGGTGATTCAAACAACCCTACACCAACTTAGGGAAGAGGGAGCGCTCAAGGGATTCCGAAAGATTATTCTACAAACAAAGCTATGAGAGGATGTGCAGTGGGAACCACGTGCTGAAGGTGAACTGAGATTCGACGTGGATGGTTTAGTAACTCCAGAAGGACAAGCGGCTTGTGGTGGCGTGATAAGGAATCAACGACGAGAATGGTTGCTGGGATTCAAGCAAAATCTTGGTGAAACAAATGTTGTTGCTGTGGAGCTTGATGTGCTGATTTTTTGCAGAGAAAGGAATTGGAATAATGTTTGGATCTACACCGACTCTTTACAGGCAATCCAATTATTGGCAATAAAGAGATGAGAGAAAAAAAATTCTTCATTAACTTAAAAGTTCATTTACTTCATTTTTAATACAAAATTATAAAATATCAAAGACATTAAAATATTAAATTGAGTGGTACAATATATTAAATAGTAATATTTAAATTATTAAATATTAAAATACTTAATATTTTAATAATATTTATTAAAATTATTTTAACAGAATTTCATAGTGTTTAACGTTTTGAGAAAAAGACTTTAAGATATTTAGTACTCCTAAACAAAAGAGTTCAAAAGTAAATTAATACTAAAGAATATGTCATGTCTTACATGTCATTATATGTGGGCTCCACACACATGCTATGTCAGCAAAAATGAAAAAAAAAAATTAATGGTTGATTAACGAAAAAAGGTTTTTGCCCCTCCAAAAATAGTTTAAAGGTAAAATTGCCCCACTTAAGAGTATAGGATGTACAGCACTCTTAAAAAATAAATACAAAAACAAAATTGAATCTTAATCCATTTTTTTAAATCATAAACAAAAATGAAGCACGGTTCCAAGGGCAACTTAAATCCAAAACACTATATTAGCCTCTTATAAATAAACTGCAAGATAATTCAAGTGTCTACCCAAAAATAAGACTTTGGTTGGATGAACAATACTTTCCATCATGGATTTAAGGATTAATACCCACTGTAGGTCAAATCAACACTTTTTTCAAATTGGTATCATGACCTAATTAGAGTTCACTTAATGGTGTATACTTAACCATAATACATCTACTTGTAACATCCTATAGCAAAGCACATTCTGGATATAAATATAGTAAAGCCATAGTTAGGCTATAGCCACCCACACAATTATGTAAGAATATTTCAATTTCAAATCTTAATCAAAATATATTAGGCAATCAAGTTTGACCATGAGAGATAGACATATTTCTCATGGCCAACATATGTAAAGTTTATCATAAGTTAGAGTCTATATGCTCAAATGTAACAAACATTGCCCTAAGTTGATAAGTATACGTTACTAAGTCAAGAGGCAAAACAAAAGAACCAATGTCTCATATACTAAATCCAGACTTTTAGTGCTTCTTTAGCTGGATTCATTCCTATGAAAATATTAACCAAGGCACCAAAAAATCAAACCCTAAAAAAGCCAAAATGAAGCCCTCTTTGTCTTTTCCTCTCCTTCAAGCGTTATGATCTAAAACATGAACGAGGGATTGACATAAAAAATGCTTGTCCAAGTATAATTGTGACTATGTTAATTCCATTTGAGCTTGGAGACACCTCATTAAAACAATCCTTTGCCTCTATCTTTGTTCATAAGTAGTCGAGCCCTGCATGGTGCTCATTTGTGCATGATCAAAGGCAAAATGGCCAATGTTAATGTAAGCCAACAATGTTGGGCTTAATCCAGCCCAATACCTATTTTTTAACTATAATTATCACTTTTATATGATTCTAAGCCCAATTTAATCCATGATTAAACGCCTAAATATGTTATTAATGTCAAATACAAATTAATTCCTCAATTGAACTGCAAAATAATATCAATCGTAGTTTTAAATCCTCAATAAAATCTTAATTTCCACAATTTATTTATTAAACAAAAACATATGAGAGATAGACATATTTCTCATGGCCAACATATGTAAAGTTTATCATAAGTTAGAGTCTATATGCTCAAATGTAACAAACATTGCCCTAAGTTGATAAGTATACGTTACTAAGTCAAGAGGCAAAACAAAAGAACCAATGTCTCATATACTAAATCCAGACTTTTAGTGCTTCTTTAGCTGGATTCATTCCTATGAAAATATTAACCAAGGCACCAAAAAATCAAACCCTAAAAAAGCCAAAATGAAGCCCTCTTTGTCTTTTCCTCTCCTTCAAGCGTTATGATCTAAAACATGAACGAGGGATTGACATAAAAAATGCTTGTCCAAGTATAATTGTGACTATGTTAATTCCATTTGAGCTTGGAGACACCTCATTAAAACAATCCTTTGCCTCTATCTTTGTTCATAAGTAGTCGAGCCCTGCATGGTGCTCATTTGTGCATGATCAAAGGCAAAATGGCCAATGTTAATGTAAGCCAACAATGTTGGGCTTAATCCAGCCTAATACCTATTTTTTAACTATAATTATCACTTTTATATGATTCTAAGCCCAATTTAATCCATGATTAAACGCCTAAATATGTTATTAATGTCAAATACAAATTAATTCCTCAATTGAACTGCAAAATAATATCAATCTTAGTTTTAAATCCTCAATAAAATCTTAATTTCCACAATTTATTTATTAAACAAAAACCAAGATGTCACACAATGATTGTGAATTCTCAAGGTCTTTTGCCACAATTATCTTAAAATGTCTAAGTTAAAATGAGTCTAAAATGCAAAGATGCTCGTAGGAAAGTAACTTTGCATTACTAGGAAAGGAAATTAAAGTATGGGAGACCTTAAGGTTCTGGAGACAGAAGTTAGGAAGTAACATGAAGAATCTAGTTGGCCTAGATTGGAAAAGGGTTGTGCAAAATGAGGTTTTGATTGTCTAGGGGTTTATCGACTTTAATTGATCCAGTGATGATGCCCTTGCCTTTGTGAGCCTTCTCCTTTTATTTGATCATATAGTTGTCCTTTGTTTGAATTCGAATTTTGCTGCCAAGATTAAGCATGCCAACTTAGGGAACTAGGTGCTTTGCATGAGGGGGTGGTGCTTCACATTTCTCAAGCAAGCGGTGTGGACTTGGTCGCTGCTCCCTTGAAACGCAATGTTTCATTAATCTGCTGAAGGTCGGATTGTGTTTGTTAAATTCGACTTCTTCTCTTTGTCATTTGTTTTGGGCTCAATGAGGGTCCAATTAATTTTAAGGAAAATAGTAATTAAATAAATTAAATTATTTATTATTTAAGTGTTTGAACATTTCGCCTGAACTTTCTAGCTAATATGCCTATATGAGTGTACTTTGTAATAATGTTTTTTTTTTGTATTTGTAAATTGGTAATTTTCTATTTAATTGTTAATCCAATTGCAAATAATTTTAGAATAAAATTATGCTAAAAATTCAGGGGAGTCATTTTAAACAAAAACTTATAATTTTAAAAAAATAAATGGAAAATTTTAATTTATAGACTCTAGCGTTGCAGCCAATTCAGCAACCAAAGCACCAGTGGTCTAGTGGTAGAATAGTACCCTGCCACGGTACAGACCCGGGTTCGATTCCCGGCTGGTGCATTTGAATTGTCCACTTTTTAAACCAGCGTCCAAGCTCCAGCCACTAAGCAAGAGATGCCATTTGGCATCAAACTTCGAATATTCCTTTAACATGTCTCACCAACATGCAAGGACCATTACCAGATCATCAAGTCGATGGAATACCAATAAATTGCTTTTGTTTTGTGTTATTATCTCCTTCCACATGACGTGTTCCATCCTATTTCTGATATCCGAAACAGAAGAAAAATTAAAATTATACGCAACAGATCACAGGAAGAATCAAATAGATGTTTCGCTTGATCACAACATATCTAATAGCACTCCTTGGAATACAGATCTACCATAATACTTACAATAACCAACTGTGAAAAAGGAGAGCAAAAAAGTGCAAAAGAACAGATATGGGTTTTATAGTGTATCATGCCAGTAACAATAAGAGGATCTCAAGTTCAGAATTTATCCACAATTACTCCATCCCTGGAAACCTCGTACGCTTCCCTGCTCCTTGTTTTCTTCATTCCAGCTGTGAAATGGACCTTGGGTCCCTCAGAAGAGATGGCCGTCACTTTTGCCCAGATCAATACCTTTGTTTTTATTCCTTCAACATCTGCAAGCTTTCCTTTCTCCAGATAACCAGTCACGGTGGTAAAGAACCGCAACACAGATGAATCCCTGTAGCCTACTTCACACACTTGAGGAATGTAAACAATGAGCTTCCTTGTCGCTTCGTTAAATTCATAGTTCGTTGCATCACGAGGAAATATCCCCACTGGAAGATCATGCTCCTTAAGCAACTCTGTCAATGGCTTTTGCATTTTTCCTGTAACGTGTTTTTTTTTTTTGGGCCAGAGTTACTAACTCATATATTCAAACAATAAATGAGGGGTCTCAGACTAAATGATGGAACACACCAATTTCTGTCTCTTTAACTTGCTAATACTAGTGTCATAACACAGTAACTGGAAAAGAGTTTAGTTACCATCATTTGAAATATTTAGGCCATCAAATTTGAAGATTTAATATACATACAAAAGGAGCATTAATTTCACAAGTCACATGAGTGAAGATAAAACATCAGAACCATTATCTCTTTGCCATCAAAAGGCTTTGTGAGACTTTGTCATACATATGAATACGAGAACGCATGCTTGACAATGCCAATGCTGCTAAAGTCAAATGTTTCTGAAACAACAAAACTTCTGTTGAATTAACTACTGATGCTTCAGATATTCTCTTCGGTGCATGAAAAAGAAGCTTCACAAAATTTTAACTCAAGAAAGGATTAAAGGAAAATTATTAAAGTAAGTGAAAAGTTCCTCACAGGCATCAATTCTACTTCAAAGAAACAACCAAATGCAAAGAACCAGCATCACATCTTCAAAGTTTAAAAGAGAAGATGAAAACATAAAAGCATTCTTTTCCGGACCTTATCTAACGCTATGCTTAAAATAGAGATAGATTCAACTTCATCTTCTGAGTTTCTAGTAGTTCTTTAGGGTACGTCCGGGAGTTGAAAAGAAAAGAGAAGGTTAAATGATAATTTCCCTCTTGTTTGGGAAAATATTAAAATTGAATAACATAAAACAGTAAGGGAGGGAGGACCTTGGAGGATTTGGAAGATGCAAAGCTTCCATACCCCACCCCCAACCCTCTTTATAAAACACCTTCTACCAAGGAAGAGGTTTCAATGAAACCTTCCCTTTCCTTCTAATATTCCTCATTCAAACCTAAACTTACAATAGCTTTTTGTAAATAGATTTTCAAAAAACACAGCTAATAAACATTAATCTTTAGCGGAAACTATAATTTCCAAAATGTTTCTTTAAAGGGAAAATCTCCTAGTCTAATATTGAGCGTTCCAATTTCCATCAGCATTTTGAGGCCTATTAAAATATATGAAGTCGTCACTATTGCATCAAATTCACAGTCTATGCTTTTAGAATGAAGATCTAAGCAAATATTAAAATAAGAAAGGGACACAACACCTTTTAATTTGTTGACGAACCATTTTGTTCCTTCTCCAATACTGTTTGACAGAGACTGAACCAAACAGAATAGCGTCAATTATAAACATCACTCAAATAACTCAAACAGACAACATGAATTCAAGTGAACAGCATTGCGAGTTGCAATTAAACATAGAAAAGTTCCATTTCTCTATTGACCTTAGCAAAAAAAACATAATCATTTCTCTCTCATCTACATTTTGTATATTCTGCTCCATAATCTCACTGCCTTGCACATTTTCTATAATAGCCATGAATTGATGAAGCACTTTCACATTAGCGTTGCTGTATCAGCTGACAAGTATTTTTAGGTGGCTATTTGAACAAACCATTCTTGATGATTTGGCCGTCATATTTCATCACAACCTCAACAAAATGATTACCTTCCCAGGTTAGTGCTGCTAGATAACACCAGACAGCCGTCAAATAGCATAATTCTAACAGAAAGATAGTTTTCAGGCCAAAAAAGGAAAAGAAGAAAAAAGAAAATCAAGATAGTTTCTACTATTCAGCAAGTGGAGAACATCAAAATGAATATTGCAACACAAAGATATTCTATTTAGTTTTTACACAAAATAGGAAGAATAAGATAAATGAACATTACAGGTCATTAACCTAAACCAAAACTCAATTCTGGTAACAAATTTGTCATGATTGAAAACCTTAAATGATAAAGAGCATTGTGACTAAAGAATTATAATCATAGATTATTTATAATGTTAGGTTAATTGCGGAACATTCCCTACATGTTTATGTGACGGCCATGTTTCTTTGCAATTTCAATGTAACTAATTAATTATCTGTTGCAATACAGAACTGTTGCTCGGCTCTATACTGATGATAGGTTTTTTAAAAAAACTAATTCTGGATAATCTAATTGATTTCTACAAGTCAGCACGGAGAAGCATCTATTCCAGGCATCTGCATTTTCCCCCGGGATTCATAATAATAAAAAAAAGGTACATCTGTCTATACCTTTTACAGAACCAAGTCCACAATAGCAGGCTCTTACCTCTCTACCTTTAATGTAAGGGGATGTGAACTAAAAACATATGAACTGTTAAATCCATTCCATAAAGCTGTTACCTTAGTTAAGCAGGGTGCAAGTCATGATTAATCCCTAAGAATAGTTAAATTGATAATAACAGCTTGGTTTCATGATCTCTCAGATGGTAACAAGCAAGACCATCTTCAGGTGTTTCCACAAAACAAACTAATAAATCAATGAAATAGTGTCTTCTAATTCATAACCAATTCATACATTCCCAAATCACGAAGCTTCTCCTCCTCCTCCTCCAATCCCCTTATCCTAAATTTCTTGGTCTCAGTGTTCTTCCTAAAACCCTTGCGGAGATGTGAACCAATTTTTATCTAAACCCAACAAAATCTTCACTGTGTTTCAGATCCAGAGAATAAAACCCGGACCCATATGCCTATGCTTCACTCTCATCATAATACTAAAGATTTATATCCTCCTCCAAACTGAAACAGAAAATCTAGTACAAAAAAAGTCATCAAAATAGCAAAGTATCATAAGATCTTGAATTTTGAAGAAAAAGAAGAACAAAGTCAGAAGATGGACGAACATTGAGATCATCGCCAACGGAATCGATCTCCTTGTTGGCCCTTCGGCTGAACCAGTACGACCCCACCTTGTTCAATATCTGATCCATTTGGCTGTACCCTATTCCAGAACTCGTAGGAAGTAAGTAACCGGTTTGATGAATTTGTCTCTCCGCACGAAGAGGAGAAGAGAGCAATTTTGACGAAGCGAGGGGCAAAGTCCTCGCCTGCGTTTGGGAAGCGTCCTGGCCTTTGCTCGGTTCTTCCTTCCTCACAAGTCACAACTTTGATTTGTCTCAGTAATTATCACTTTTTATCATTATTATTCATTGAAAAGTCCAAAAAGTCAATCACGCTCTGTGGAATGTAGTAGATTACCAGATACAGTACAGTTCTACTTTTTCCTCGCGCTTAGCATTAAGGCATTGTTGTTATTGTACGTGCAAACAAGGTTGTTCACAAGTTCAGATAAACTTGTGATAAAAATGTAGCAAACTTAAATTGTGTATTTGTGAGAGTTTATTTTTATTAATAAATAATAATTAAAAATTTATTATTAAATAATTAAAATATAAAATATAATCATAATTTAATTTAAATATAAATTATTAAAATTAAATTCATTTACATTAATAAATTATTATACAAAACATAGAAAATTTAAATTAGGAAAACTTATTTTTGATATTTTTTGTTTTTTTATTAATATTAGTTTTTACTTTTTAAGTTTTTTTTAACCTAATTCTATAATTTTTATGAACTGAATTTTTATATATACTTAACTTGTTCAACTTAAAAAAAAAAATTAATGAGCTTAACAAGCTTGTATCTAATCTGAATTTATGAATTAATTGACACGATTTTGTAAGTTAAAATGTAAAAACACTAAATTCAGAGGTAAACTTGCGAGTTTAACCGAGCTTATATCAAATTCAAATTTATAAGTGAGTTGACACAATTTTATAAATTAAAAATGTGAAAATGTTAAATTTTAAGAGTCAACTCGAGAGTTTGACAATTATACATGCAAAGCACTTAAATTTAACTCAAATAAAATTATAAATAACAAAATATTAACCCCAGCAAGTGAGCAAGCCCAGATGTACAGCCAGAAACATCAAGGTTAAGGGCAAACCCATCTTAATGCGTTGACGAAAAAACCCATCTTAATGCAGTCAAATCGAATCATTTTTGTTGAATAATTTTTTTATTGCGCAGATATTCTCTCGTTAGAGGTAAGTATATTCGGATATCAAACATGAGCATTTTTACAATTAATCGCTTATTTTGAAGGATCAAGTTTGAGTCTCACCATATACAATTACATTAAATAAATATATTAAAAATATCTTTAAGAAACTTATAAATTTTTCATCGGTAATAATTATCCCACATAGTAAGGTTCAAATTAATCTATGCAAGTGGTAAAACTATTTCAAAATTTTCAAGATATTGAATTGATGAACTCAAAAAAATATGGGAATTTTTTCCTAGCAAAAAAATTGAACAAATTTTGTATTCCACATCATTATAATTTTGAATGGTAACATTTTTGTATATGTTGAACTAATATATCTTTCAATGTACCTATTATTTATCCCATGCAGTGCACATTTAAGAAAAAATCTAGCCACACCTCGAATGCCTTTTTTTTTTTTTTTTTTGCAAGTATATAGATATAAAACAGTATAACTTTTTTTTTTCCGGACCAGAAAAACGGTATAACATATCAGTTATCACATTTTTTAAAAGAGAAATAAGTTGAATCCCAAAAAAAGAGACCTAATGATGATATCCATCCAGATCTCTCACCTTTGTATTTTATTTCTCCAGGAGAGTCTGTATACTCTCCCAACTTATACCTTTCGTTTTATTTTATCATTGTCATTTTTATTTTGTTTTTGGCCATGCATAAACTTCTATTTTTTTGTGCTTATAGTTTTTTAACGCAATTTTTTTGGTATGGAAAAATTTGGCATTTAAAGAGAAAAATGGGAAACCATTCAACTCTGCTAATCTGACTATTAAATTTAATTTAGATTATATACAACATTAAAACATATATTATATTATTATATTCTTATTTTATCTTTTAGCACGGGCATCGTATCGCTCAAATTTGCTTCTCTAGTCACGTTGACAGAATGACAGAAAGATCCCTATATCACTATACTGTATGGTAATTTCGCCAAAGTTAGTTATGTGTCTGTGTGTGTATATTCGATTGTTTATTGTTTAAAAAAGCTTCAAAGATGTATGGTAACATGCATTCTAGACAAGATTAAAAGATAATTTTAAATAGAATTATAGAATAATGTAAAACACCACAAATAAAAGTGCTTTTTATTCATAAAAAGTTAAAAATTATTACATTATATCCCTAGTATTCCCTGCCAAATTGTCACATTTTTTTGGATGTAAATTTGAAATATGTGCTAGCTGATATGTTTTAAGTCTTCATAACTTATAAATAAATATTTTATTAAATTTCATATTATATTTTTTTGTTTATAATAAACAATATAAATAAATAGAATATAAAGTTACTGATAAAAAATTAAATAAGAGGTTTTAATTTAATATTAATATTTAATAATAACAACATTTTTTGGTTCTCTCATATAAAATACAATAAGATATTAATAATAAATTTTGTAATTCAATAACTAAATAGCACTAACAATAATATATCCATTCACTTAGAGTGAAAGTTCAAGATTAACACTGCCTTCAAATTCTCCCATCAACCAATTTTGTTGCCATTCTATATTGCATGGGAGATGTTCATTTTTCATATCAACATTAGTAAGATTTTGTTGACACTTCTTGTCAACTGAATTTGAATTCTTTTCCTGCAAAAACCAATAAAAATAAAATATAAAGTATATTATGTTATTAGCTAATTAATATAGTGCACTATCTTTCAAATATTATTTTGTAAGTATAGAGCCATTTGATATATGTTGTTTGATATTGTTTAACTGATATAACAACTTGAAAATTAGTGAAAAAAGAAAAGAGTTATATATACCTTTCTATAAATGGTTCCATCTTTTTCAACATGCCAACCAGCTTCTTCACAAAGTGCCATCAGCAAGTCATTAGTGTCTGAATGTTTAGGGAGATTATAGTTTCCATAAGCTCTCAGACCAGCAAATATTTTTCGACTCATTGCTCGTCGATTTCTCTCTCTAAGCTTATTGTTTTGTCTCTCTCGCTCACTTGGAAACCTGTTAGTCTGTTTAACAGCACCATCTTTTGTGATCTTTTTAACTATCCAAGGCCCTTTTGTAGTCTTAATACATCCTTTCTTCCATTTTTCAGCCATGGTTGTCTTCTTCTTCTCTTCTTAGATTTCTCTCTCGCAGGACCCTTCCTTTATATATAAAGGGAAAATTTAATTTGATGCTTTTTTTTTTTCAGTTATTATGGCACTCAAGAAGACATGCAAAAGATGTTTATTCTTTTCTTGAGGCATCTTTATCTCTGGTACGTTTATGCCATAGAGAAAAAGATATGGCCTGAATTATTGCTTTTAGAAAAAAAAATATGTTTATACTGTATACAACCTTTTTAAATATTATTTTAAAAAATATACACTAATTCCCCTGCAAGTAAAAGATTGATATTTTAGAAATAAAAATTTTTAGTTTAAAATATAGTAACTCATTGGTTTTATTGTGATGTTATTCTTATTCTAAGTAAAAACGTATTATTACACGAATAAAAACATATTGTATTACAATATCATATAAGTGATAAATTGTAAAGATATTTTGAGTGAAAAAACTATTATTTTAACTTACTTTTACCGGTCAATAATGTAAAAAGATGCATGGACGAAAGGAATCTGCAGATACAACTATAAGAAGAATATGTATTTTTCTTTTATTTTGAAAAAGGATTGAAGTTATTTTGTTGAGACTTAGTTTTCCTCCCTTGCAGAAAAGGAAAGAGGAGGAATCACTTTAAATATGAACCATTAAATTGAATTTAGTAATTTAAATTTTATAATTTTTGAAAGTATAAATTTAATTTGAACAGTTTAAATTTACAGTGGATAGGTAGTAAATAGAAAAAGTAGTTGAGTGAAATTCATCCCATTTTGTTGTGGCCACAAAGCAATTCCTTTGTTTAATATTTAAAAAAAAAAAACACACAAAACATTTGATTTCGTGGAGATGATTTTGCAATATATTAGTGACAAGTATTCCGACAAAACATGCATGAACCAAAGGAATCTGCGAACACAATTATAGGCAATCCTGAACGAGTTAGTTGGGCAACAGCTGCATTCTATCAACACGAAATTTACTATATACCAAGCTTCTCAAAAGCGTATGTATGTGCATATATATATATATATATATATGAATTTTAGGACAAGAATAATTCTAGATTATGGATGAGTCATTTTTAATCAATATTAAATAATAAGCAAGTCATTTTAATAATTCTACTAAATTGAAATTCAACTTTAATCAAACTTTTTTTGGGAGGAGAAAGAAAAAAACTGAAATACAATTCTGACATTTGCACATCAAGTTTTGCAGTCAAAGAGTAATAGTGGCTCCAAATTTTGAGGTATAGGAATCAATATCAAAAGTACTATGTGAAAACAAACATAAAGTTCAAACATCAAAGATAAAGTTATATTTTTTTAAATAATATAGATTACACAACCATTTATGAAAAATAACATACATCGGCAGAATTGAGAAGACCTGCAAAGGGTTATTCTCATTAGAAACTTTGGTAAAAAAAGATGTTGACTTTAATCATCTTAATTAAAATATCCTCCAACTTCACGTTATGGCTTTTGTATTACACATACATACATACATACATACATACATACATACACATATAATTATTAATGGAAGCATTCTTTTCCCGTTTGGAAAATGAAGATGGGGACTCAAGCCAACCTCTGCCTAAATAACAACTGGAAAATGAAGTTAGGAGTTTGACCCTTAGAAAGTACAATGTACAAGTTCCCAGTTCCTGCTGTTCAATAAAAAGATGGGGGGAAAAAATTAGACACCAACTGTCAAATGTCAATTAAAAAAAAAAACAATTCAGACTTAAACCGCAATTACTATTTGTACATGAGCAGTGGAAGGCCAAGAATGAGATGTGGGGACTAGGGAGACTGGAGAGGCTACCTTTTTTATTGGGGAAAAAAAGTAAAAAGAAAATTATCATTTCAATATTTTTATTTTGTATATTTCATATCAATAATTTAAAAATTAATTCTATAGCATTCGATTCTGAATGAAAGGGGTTATCCAATCATCTTATAATTCTCATTACCGATAGGCCAAAAAATTTGTAACTCCTGAGATTTGATCTGTTGATGTTTCCAGTGTTTCAAGGAATAACAGAGAGCACAACAGCACACACAACAAAAACAACATCAATGATTCTTTCCCACCAAATGAAGTTGGCGTTGAGTTTTTCAGGCATTGTGTTCACTATATGATAACGGGAAAAAAAATTTAAATCTTGCGAAAAATCCAGAAGCACAAAGCATCATAAAGATATTACAAAGGAAATCTACTGACCAAATCATAAAAAGAATCCACTATTAATCGATGCAATATATTTCACTGATGCCAATATAATCCATCAAACAATGACAGCCTCGACATCTTGATTTTATCCCATGGAATAGAAGTTATTTAACCTTACATGTGCTGAACTAAACTTTCCCCTGCCAGGAAAATTTAGAAATGAAGTCAGAATGGCAAATAGTAGGTTTGAAGCTTGCCTAAGAAAACAGCAGCAGAGGTTCAAGTTTTCATTATATTCCTGCCAAGCAAGTACAGAACAGTAAAAGCCAAGTCAAGCTGCAAACGGTCACAAGTAAATTCCTATATCACATACATGAATAAAAAAATTTCATCAGGAAATACTTCGCTAACGCTTTATAAATTAAAGCTGCAAAAGGATTTAGATATTGCGTGCATGCAGCCATTGTTCTAGTCACAAGCGAACTACTTTCAAGGACAAATTAATAAGAGAGGGTTCGATTTTATCAGTATTAAAGTGTACAGATAATTAGTTAGGCCATACATTCAATTGAAACAATTAAACCCCATTTTCCCCCATCATTGAGCACCTTGAAGACAAATTGAAAATAAAGCAATAAGGAGTTTCTGTAATATCAAATCACAAGGAGATTGACAATCTTGGCAGTTGGCAAGAGGAAGAAACAAATTACGAAGAGTAATGGAAAATATCCGTCTAGATGACATGAGAAATAAATATTGTAAGAACACACAGTTACACACGCATATGCACACGAAAGCATATTCAAGATAATGTGACATTTTCAGAATTTGTGGGAAAGAATAATATATAAAGGCAAAAATGCATGCTGCCACTAATAGGATTGGCTTACACATTCACACCTAAGTTATACTAGGAAGCAGATGCTTTAGAGCCAGGACTCGGCTCTTTTGTCACAGGTGCAGAAGGTGCAACATAAATTCTTGCTTTCTTAATGATTTCAGCAACAATCCAATGCTTACGCTTGCTCAAAGGCCTAGAAGTATCCAATCGAACCTGAAATAACAAAGGCAGAAGCGTGCTTATTAACTTTTTCATGAAAAATGAATAGCATAATACATGAAGGGGGAAAACTATAGTTTAAAAAATTCAACTTGATTAAAAATAAAAGCACATAAGATGGATGGATTAACTCTATCACCGATGTTACAAACATTGTTCTCATCATGTGCCATAAATTTAGAGGTGCGCTTGACATAACGGTTGTATAGTTTGTGGTGGAATAACCTATCCACTGCCACCACCACTGATTTTTGCATCTTGTTTGACACCACCGTTCCTATCACCTGCTTCATTGTCTCTTCCCAACCTGCAACCCTCATTTCATAAGAACTTAAGTATAAAAACAATCAATTTTACTTTCAATTGCAATGCTGAAATCCATAGAAGGTATCTAAATCTACCTCCCTCAACCTACATCAGCTCCTGCCATAACAGATGCACCTATCTTGTGTCACACAAGATCCTCCTTACCCATACCTGTTCCCGGATGGTCAGATATCTGCCTATAGCACCGTTTAAATCCACATTCATGGTACAGAAAATGCCTCTTCTTGACCTCTCGTAAAAAACAACTTGCAAGAGAATGTAAACCATGCTACGATAGATTCTAGATCTTCATTAAATTGCTTTCTTTTTTCACACACTAATAACTAATAATATTCTCTTCAATTTGCGTGACTCGTGTGCCATCATAGGCGGACCTATACTACTCTCGGTGGGGGTATCTGCCCCCACTGAAATCTTTGAAATAGGCATAGTTAATATAATGTCCTTTTAATTTTTTTTCTTCCAGATACTTTGACACAACTCAAGCCAAGTCATTTACAAGATCATACATCACAAGTACCTTGAGAATTTCTAAATTTTATGATAACATAAAAAGATTAATAAACAGAATGCCAAAACACAACAAATCCAACTTTGCAAAAAAAAAAAAAAATCCAAATCATACAAGCCGGTAATAATCAAAATGAAGAGGGAAGAAGTATAATAGCCAATTACACACCATTCAAGCAAAAACTAATACCAAAAAATAAACTCAATATGTAAATATTCCCAAATCGAAAGGTGTCAACATTCAACGATTATACGACCAGATTCAAAGCCAAATTAAATGAAAAGTTTAAGACAAAGCAAGAACAGAGGGAACAGATGACGCGGGGGGGAATTCAAATCTAGATTCAAAACACCAGATTGAGCAAATCATTCTCACCGGATTTTGGGAGTAGAAAAAGCCCTAGGCTGCGAACCTTCTTCACTGCTTGCCCGAGAACAACCAGGCAGGGCTGCAACGGTGGACGGCGTCCGACGGAGTATGGGATGCTTGTTCGTCGACTAACAGGACTGGATCAGCTGCTCCCGAGCAAGGGTTCTATCGGGGTTTATAATTAACTTTAGGAAGAATTTGGCATCGGCCCAAAATTAATTATTAAAATAGTATATTAATTACTCTAAATAATAAAATTTATTTTATAAATTTATACCCAAGTCTTTTTTACTAAAAACATAAAAAAATTTTTAAATAAAACAAGTGTGTCACGTCATTTATAATTTATTTAATTTAATAAAAAGTAAGACATTTAGATATCTTTATTAAATATAAATTAATTTTGATAAGAGAGAAAAAAATAATAAATTAATTATACATTTCATTATAAAAATAAAATTAATTAAAATAATAACACATAAAATTTTATTTGGATGACTTAAATTTTTTAATTAAAAAGATCGCAAATAATATAATGTACCTAATCTATTTAAAAATTTTCTAAATATCTACTTCTTTTATATTAAAAAGTATTAAACTTTTGGGTATAATAAATATAATTTTTTAATTTTTTTGTTATCATTCTTTCTAATGTTCTCATATTCATTTTTTTTAATTTTTTAAATAATTAAAAAGAATTTTAACCTTGTAACATGTTGAATAGAATTAGAGGAGATAAATGAAACTGACTAAAAAAATAAAATTAATAAAATCCATATATTAACACATAGTTTTACCTTATATTTAACACCAAGATACATGAATAGTGAAGATAATAATTAAAAATATATTAAAATTATGAAAGGATAAAATAACTATAATTTTACAATTTTTTTAATCATGTATACTACTAATAAAATACAAAGTTCAGTTGAAAAAAAAAATTCATCTTTTATAAATACACAAATATAATAATTAAAAATATAAAAATTTTATATGTTTTATCAATTTTATATTAAATTAAATAAAATCAAATTAAATTAAATTTAAAAATAAAAAAGAGGAAAAAATAAGCACCAATTGTTATAAATTTGAAAGATTACTTCTTGCACATTAAGAATATCACTTGTAACATCTAAAAAAATATATCCCATTTCCCACGTTCCAATGCAAATTATCTAAGAAATTCTATTTGCACTGAAATATATCCCATTAAGATTAGATAATTTGCATTGGAATGTGAGAAATGAGAATTCTATTTCTTTATATAGTCAGCATTGGAGGTCGTTGTTACAGTCAGGTTATGTTCCTTCATCCTGGAAGGCTTCGAACCTTATACCACACCATTTTGCTCATGGAATGTTCATCTAGTTAAATCTCTTTACCTACCAACTATGGCTGCTAATGTTCTCTCTTCCCCCGTTCCTTTGCATGATCAGAATGCTGTGTTGGTTTGGAATGTGAACTCACTTGGTTATTATTCTGCAAAGAATGGTTATTCTTTATGTCTTAATTTACTGAATCCCCCTCACGTTCTCGGCAATTTTCCATGGTTACGTATTTGGGATTGCAAACTGCCTCCTAGAATTGAAGTTTTCATTTGGAAAATTGCTGGGGAACAATGACCCACTTGAACACTTTTAAAACGCTTCAATCTCAATTTTGTTTTAGTCTGTCCTTTTTGTTATTTTGATTCAGAGACTCTTTCCCGCATCTTCTTGCATTGTCCATTTGCTAGGGCTTGTTGGTTTGGCAGTTTATTGAACTTACACGTTGATGATCATCCTGAATGGACTACTTATGAATGGTTGATAGTTGGGTCAATCAATACTTGACTGTTCAATCAGCTCTAACTGATGTTGGTATATCTGATCTTCTCACATTTTATGTTTGATACAATCTGGTTTTTCCGAAACAAAATTTGTTTTGCAGGAAAAGAATTTATGCTGGCAGAAGCAATATCAACAGCGAATTCACGTGCAATGTCTTGTATGTTCAATTCTCAGAGTCAGGTGTCTGTTAAGCACTCCCAGTGTCCATTACCAGGATCTTCTTTCAAGGAGTCAATAGTTCCACCACGTACGTTGATGCGATATCCTAATTTTAGGTTGGTGGAATTTGGCAACATACGACGAGAGGGTTCTTCTACAGCTTTATGGATCAACTTTTGGCTTTGCAGCAGGCGTTATATTTCTTGTGTTCTCAAACCTTTATTAACTCTACATTTTCTTTGCCTTTAGGACTTCATCTACTTTAAGTCCTCCTTTCAGCAGTTTGTTAACAGACACTTACCAGTACCATGGCGGTTGCAACTTTCGCAACATGACATTGATGGTTTCCTTTCTCGTTTTCCTTTTGTAGTCTTTGTTCATTAGTAATAATTTTTTGTTTTCATTAAAAAAGCATTTAAAAATATATATATTTTATATAAATGATAAAATTAAATTTCAACCCTTATTTAAACTTCGCCGGAGGATGGTTCATATTTACAAATTTATATATAGTTAATTTTTTTTTAAAAGATACAGAGCATATGTTGAATGTCTCTCCATTTACAAGTCCATACAAAGGTATCCGATTAGCCTATAAATATTCGAGAGCCGTTATCTGCAATGTCTATTTATCAAAGAAACAGAACAGCAACTTTCATTTGATCTTCACTATTCCACAAGACCATAACAGGACCTTAAATCTTAACAGCAATCCGTCAAAGTGAAATATTTTGCCGTTGCTGGGTATCGAGTACCAGAAAATGTTAGAACTATTGGGTGCAGACCCCCATATTTTGTATCTAATTTCCAAGAATCAACGTAGTAATGCAAAAGCATTCCATCAAGCAAACAATGCCAAGGAATTAAGTTTTGGCAAGGAGTGAGAAAGGGAGAAAAGAAGAACGAACCAACCTGCCGGAAAATCCGGATTGCGGCGCACGTGTTGGCCTTAAGTACGAGGTAAGGTTGCTGCTTGTTTGTTTTGAAGAAGACGTCGGAGTAGAGGATAGAGGCCGGAAAGTGGGAAGGAGCGCCGCCGCGGAAGGCGGAATGCGATGGCTGAAACTGAAATGTACTGCGTGACCCAGAAGAAAAGGAGGGAATGAAGCCGTGGCCCAAATAAAAATGAGAAGGAAGAGGGACTGTGAATGGTGTGAGTCTTGGGCCAATTTTGATTGGGGCCTTAAACTAAATTATCTCTCATTCTTGAAAATGTGTTTATTTTAATCTTTTCATCATTTTATTTTTATTTTTTATTAATCTATTTCATTTCTTTTTTTTTTAACTAAACAAACGGGACCAAAATAACACTATTTAGCGTGCGTTTGGATTTCATTACGTTTACATTTCAAAAGTAAGTTTTAACTTTTTGAATGTAAAATGTTGTTTGGCTTTTTTTTTCCAGACAAAATGCACTTTTTAAACTGACTTTTAAATATGTTTGAAATGAAAAAATTTGCAAAGCTACTCCCACTTGCTTTCAAAACGTGATCAGTTGGCATCCATTTATTGCTGGTACCTAATTTGTTTATTGACCATGATGCCCCTCACTTTTGCAGCTGATACATATCACGCATACTCTCCTCTCGTGGTCCTCATTTGTGCAGCTGATACATCAGTGTTCTTCGTCCTTTGCTGCTGCTCTGTGTCTGCCGTTAGTCCGCCACTCGTCCGCCGCTAGTCCACCGTTTGGCCATCTCTTCTCCTTCTCTCCTTCGCCTCTCCTCCACCATCACAGATCCGGATCTCTTCCTTCCCTAAGCTTCTCCTTCCTTCATCAACGGTGGCTGCATTTCACCGTTAAGTTCTCCCCATCTCTTTCACGGATCAAGCTCATTTTGGGACTTGGGCGGCATTTCGGAGCTGAGAGAACTCCGACTAGCAGCTTTTGCAACCTGTGGAGTGCAAAGGTGAACATTCCGACCAGCTCGTGGAACTCCAATCCTCTTCTCCGATCTGCTCTTCAATCTGCAAGGTATGATAGCCTCCAAGCTTTTTTTGTCAGATCTGGAAATGGTGCTGCTTCGTTCTGCTCTTCGATGTGATCTGTTGCTTTTCTTGTTCGGACCACCGTGAAGCTCTGTTCTGATCTGTTTCTTTTCTTTTTTGGACCACCATGAAGCCACTGTTTTGGTCTGTTTCTTTCATTTTTCAGACCACCGTGAAGCATTTCGGTCTGTTTCTTTCATTTTTCAGACCACCGTGAAAGCATTCTGGTTTGTTTCTTTCATTTTTCAGACCACCGTGAAAGCATTCCGGTCTGTTTCTTTTCTTTTTCAGACTGGTGTGAATTTTTTTTAATTGCCTTGTTTTGATCACATAACAAGAAAATATAAGCAAGCAAGAAGATTAATCATGACTGCATATTGTAATTATTCTGTTCCAGTTTGTTTCTTTCGTTTTTCAGACCACCATGAAGCATTCTGGTATGTTTTTTTTATTTTTCAGACTGGTGTGATTTTTTTTAATTGCCTTCTTTTGATAGCTTCACATAACAAGAAAAAATAAGCAAGCAAGAACATTATTTATGACTGTATTTTGTAATTATTCTATTGATTTGCTGATGTTCTAAAATATGACACGGTGTTTTGGAAATATATTCTGGTGACTGATCTATTGATTGTTCTATGTTGCTTTGTTTTTTTTTAATTTCATTTTGATAAGAATTTGAGCTAATTTATTTTTTGAAAATGGATGAAGGGATAAGAAAGGTTACAAATTTCTGGTCAAACTTGCTTATTTTAATACATACTATTGAATTATATGATTTGAATTTTTGAGTGAGTACAGAAATTATCTTATGGCTGCTTTTGAATAACTGCCTCTTTCGACAAGTATATGTGGCTAAGATAACAAGTGGTTAATTAACTATGATCGAATAATCTTTTTCTCTTTTTGTTTCCAAAAAAAGGATAGTAAAATTTTTAAGAAGGATAAAAAAGGATAGTAAAATTTTTAATATTTTAACTCTAACTCAATTATGAATTTTTACTCCTCAAATTTCATTTGTATTGAGAATGTGATATTTTGATAGTAAAAATGAGTAAAGAGAAGGCACTATGGACTACCGAAGAAACCGAATTGTTTATTAAATTAGCTCTCCAGCAAGTTAAGAAAAATGAGCGTAAAGGCTCTACCTTATCAAAGGAGGGTTGGGAGGCGCTAATGCAACAG